TCGCAATCTAATTAAGCTGTTAAGGTGAAGTTCTCATCGTAATTAATCCGCGCTAAGATAACAAAACGCCTCTCTCAATATTTGGAAACTTGTCAATGTCTATTCAACCGATCCAAATGATCGGAACTCCCCATATTTTCTGTCACTTCATTTGTAATAATTACTCTCTTCATCTTGTCCGTATGGTGGCCATATGCCCGTAACATCATTAACTCTTTTCCTCAGAGTTGACTTTATTGTGTGCATATAATCGCACCGTTAACTCTCTTTCCTATATTCACAGCCATACTTTATTACTTTTGTTCCGGGCACTGAGCCGTGTCCTGCAGTTTCATAATCATAATATAACGACGAGACAACTAAACGACAAAATACCTTAAGTTAAACCATAGCGCTATACTATATTTGTCATACTCATTTATGTTTGCACCTACGGGACAAAACTGAGTCAGAGTAGGTACGCTATCCCAAGTATCATAATTATAAACTAATTTAACGACGATTTCCACCGGCTAAATCACCGTTTAAACGAGCGGCTGATTTAGTTTCTTATTTTGGACAAAACCTAGGAGAAGAAAAAAAAAAGATCTTTTGTTGACCCTTTTCAGCGGTCAATTGACTCTCAAAAACTTTTAATGGCCCATCAAATAATAGGCAAAAAGGAAAAACAACAACGGGGCAGCGAATATTATAAACGTGACGACAATCTTAAGTAGTAGTTATCACGCCAGACTTAAAGGCTCGATACGGCATTAATGAAATAAGGAATATGTAAGTTTTATACTTGAGTAGAATACTAAAAGTAACTGGGGGAAGTTAGCCTAAACCCTTAGTTAACCTAATTCTTTAAACCTTAACAGTTCCCCTGAAACGGCCCGCGGCCGTATTAGTAATTATACCAGTTTTTAGTATGGTTTCCCCTCAGAAACCAAGTGAAACATATGCTCAATTGCAGAAAATTATGGTTTCTGGACAGAGTTTAAAAGAAAGCAAGCAGTGTTTAATTTATTGTAAGAATATAAGAATATGCTTATAAACTTCAACCTGTCTATTAACGAGTAACAAAGCAATTAGATCACAGTGAAATGTAAACGTTAACTTATTTCTGTACTTCTCTACTGTACTGCATGCTTATCTGCTACGCTGTTTCTCAGTAAGTAATGAGGGGAATATACCTGAGGTCTTGAATAATTTCTTTTGTCAAGCTGAACAACCGGCCACACATTAACATATGAGCACTTCCACTAGGCTCCAATGGATTTTAATACATCTGGCATGCAGGCGAACAAGGCGTACCTAGGACCTAGGCGTTGTAGCCCTGCGAGTCTGTGTGTTAGAGGGCTGCCCCGCTGCTCGCAGGATATAGGTTTTTAACTTACATTTAAAGGTTGAAGTGAATATTCTGCAGGGATGAGGGGTAATGCTGCTTTCGAACAGCCCTGAAAGCGTCTGGGTCACTAATTGGCCTGGCCTACTCCCTGAGTGCACACTCCATTTGTAGTTTCACGTATTCTAGTTTTTCGATTGGTGGAACTAGAGTACCCCACCGGTAAGCAGATATTATACTACATAACTAGGCAATAGCAGTAGATCTACAATAACTGCAGGGAACCACGTACAATTCCCCACAGTTGCTGGAACATCTTAATATGACCGTATATGTGCCAGGACGACATGTGTTTAAAACTCCGCCTCCAATGATAAATAATAATGATAATCTATGCGAGACAGTCGTCATAGCTGTTGGGATCGGTTGGAGGTGTGGTCTACAACAGTCTCGTCACAATAAGAGTAGCAATAAATCCTTCCTTTAACCCAAATATCCTACCACCCTACAACAACGATAAGTCGGTAGGTCCAATGTCGCCACAGTTAATTAATACGTGTCTGATATATCATGTTCGTATCTGATAGTGATATCTGTCATAGTTGGTCAGTACGCACTGTACGAACTTTTGTACGAACTGACCAACTATGATATCTGTATCTGTATATTGATGGGATCTAGTGGGTATATTGAGGAAGAGATATCATGAAGTTAGCTGGTCCTCAATTCCACAGAATAAAATCATAAAGCCGTAGGGCGGTAGGGTGGATTATAGGAATTTCTGCCCTGACTGCTCCCTCCATTAAAACTTATAGTGCATCGAATATCAAAATTTAGCACAATACAAGATATTACTATAGTGAATATTTAAATTTCTAAACATCAATCGGTCGTTCAAACTTCATGTTTGGATTTTTCCTGGTTGTCCTGATTTACCATTCCTCTAGCCCAAACATAAGTATTGGATCAGGAATTTCGACTTTTACTGGAAATTAGAGCAGCTTCCATCATCTGCCATATAATATAGACTCATTGTTATTCATGTTTGTTTCCTCTCAAATTAACAATGAGTTTACTGATCTATAAACAATCAAGGACCCATATATTCTTTATGCAGCAGAAAAGTGCATGTATTAGATTCTATAAGTATAAGTCGGGTTGTCGTTATGTGAATCTGTACGACTGACCCGGATGCCCCTTTGACTTTGCTCACATCGTAGCTCACAATGTGAAGTTTCAGCTTCTGAATGAGTTACAGAGCTGAAACACTTAAAAAAATCATGTTTATTGTTTATAACTATAAGACTAATTGAGCAATGAACATACTTATAGGACTTTAGAGGCTTGCTTTTTGAGTTTTTTTGGGAGAGTGGCTGTTTTGGGTGTTATCTGTTTTTTAACCTTTTGACGGTGTTAGTGCTGAAGTGGTGGTAGACTTGATAAACGACAGGTTGAACTAGGTTGTTGGAGAATGTTTGATAGTCTAGCGTCTACAAACCTAGTGACATACTAACATGTAATATGTCATAAAATGTAGCCAAAATCAATGCACAACTATTTAAGAACTAATGTGAGACATGATACATGATGGACGATGATGCAGTGCAAGCTTATCAACATTTTTAATATATTATGACGCAGTGGAACTATCGGACTACGATAGCTTATCGAATTTAGCAACAAATTCGTAACGGTAAGGAAAAAAAATAAAAATATATTAGATAAACACCCACATACACCGCCTAACTTCACGTACTACTTTAGAAAGATGGTAAATTCGTTTTTCATAGTAATAGAAAAGATAACGTACATCAGGTTTATGAAAAAGGTTTATGGAAGTTTATTGTTTCTAAAAATACCATAGGTGTCGACAATTTTTTAATAAAACAATTATTTTAATAAAACAATTATTTTAATAAAACAATTATTTTAATAAAACAATTATTTTAATAAAACAATTATTTTAATAAAACAATTATTTTAATAAAACAATTATTTTAATAAAACAATTATTTTGATAAAACGATTATTTAATTTTACGGCACAATATCAATATACCAATCATGCAGCAGCTGATGCATAACAATAAACAAATAGTAAATAAATCAGTGGAGGCTTGAAGAGGTTTAAAGTGCCGACGGTTGCTGTTATCGTTGGATTTGAGAGTGACCAGTGCATGAAACCAGCTCAACCATCCACTACGTCAAAATAACGAATATGAAAATATATGAATATAAAAATATAAAAATACTTCAACAAGAATATTTTAATTTTAAAAACTTCCATGTGTTATTTGGTGACGCAGTAGAGCCCAGTAGAGTTTCAGTTTCAGTTTAAATATAAGTTTAAGAAGTTTATCACGTTTTGGGGATGGGCCAAGTGTTCAGATGTTAGATAGAGCTACTAAAGCAGGCGAGGAAAGAATTCGGGGAACTTCTAAGTCATATCTTGCATTGCAGACCTACATGGTTGATGGTCATTACCCTCGGTTAAACTTATAGCTGCTTAAGGAGTATGGACCATTACGGCGCTACTTCCATTACACATAAATTATAAAATATCCTGTTGATGTTTACTTGATATTAGTACTAAGTTCATAATATTATCCTAACTAGGTACTAAGTATGTATTAATATAACCTATTTATTAATATCTATGTTCCTAATCGACTGTGGAGAGAATAATTCTCCAAGGAATGCCTCGGCCCCTGAAGTCTACTACTTCTCCGGTTTCACGTACCACAAATATTCAAGTTTAAAAAGTCAAACATTCCGAATCGGCTATATTTAAATCGGCAGAAATGGTGACTGGCTATCCTTTAGTTCAAACGAAATAAATAATAGCAATTTTATGCCGCTTATATCAATAAAAATGCAATTTATTTGCAAAATATTAGTACGACAGAATATTTGTTCGATGAAAATTATGATCGGCTAGAAAGTATACGGTGTAATTTTTTATTGGTAAATATGTAAGCGACTAAAAGTATAGGCGTAACGGCCGATTGTGTCGACCAAATTTTAGCAGATAAGATAACACATGAAAATTAAATAGGGTGATTCAGTAGTGAGAGTTATATATTAGGTACTAGTGCTGATAGACTATAGTAAATAAGTTTACACACCTTCATCATGCCAGCAAATGACAGAGATACGCGTACGCAACAAATATGAATGCACAGCTCGTATCTTGCTGGCTTCTTTCTCTGCATTCTAGCTAAAATATGTCCTGAAACAAATATTGAAATATCATGCTACAATATATTACATAAATGCATGTCACATTTTAGCTATCATGGAATGTTTCCCTCCAAATCTTGTATTTTCACGACAGTACAAGATTGCTTCCGATTATTTTCAGACGCCGGCAGATAATATAGATAAGAAGGTTGGGTAACATGGTTGTGTTCCAAATACTTATCAGATCTATAGTGAAGATAAAGTTGTTGTCATCAGAGAAGTTTTCACGATGAATACCAGATCCAGTTACACTATCACATGCATCATGTCATCGGAATTCGGGTGATAGTTGTATTGGGTTATCGGAATATGGGTGATATTTGATACCCAATTAACATTTCATATAAAAGCCACGATACGTCATTACTTCGTCATCATTAGTTGATTACCTATTTGGCAACAGTTTATCTTGTTTTATACAAATTATTATCGATATGACGTCACTATCAGAGAGAACTCCCGACACCTTCACCAACAACTACAGGGTCCTCAAGCTCATCGGACAAGGAGGTTACGGTAAAGTTTGGCTCTCTGCCCGATTATCCGACAACAAACTCTTTGCGGCCAAGATGGTACCTGACAGTCGTTGTAGGAGAAAAAGCTGGTGTATGGACCGAGAAGTGTACCTTCCTGACGAGGTGATTCTGTGGGAGGGACTAGACCATCCGAACATTATTAAACTGGAGGAGGTTTTCTCAGAGCAGGGATCCTGGATATTCGTGATGGAGTATCTGGCCGGGTTCACGGACCTCTTCACCCTTTCAGAGCTACACGGAACATTATCAGAGAGCGAAGCAACAGGGGTCCTCCGACAAATAACAGATGTTTGCTGGTATCTGATGGAGGAGGAAGTGGATCACAGGGATATAAAAGACGAGAACATTCTCTACAACTCCGTCACCCAACAAATCAAACTCATAGATTTCGGATCAGCCTCGTTTCTGGAGATAGATCAGAGGTACCACAGTCTGCAAGGAACTGAGGTGTACAACCCTCCGGAACTCTATAATGGAGGGTCCTATGATCCTATCAGCGGGATTGTGTGGAGTATTGGGTGTCTGGCCTTCGTGTTGGTTAACGGAGACATCCCATTCAACAACAAAACGGAAGTTATGGAGTTTAAACAACTAACGTGGTTTAATGATGGTATGAGCCCTATCTATAAGGACTTTGTTGAGAGATGCATGCAGAGGGTTGAGATTTTGAGGATTGACTTTTTTAAGCTAAGGCTTCATCCTTTGTTGAGGGGCAAAGGGTTCCGCAGTGGCTCGTAAAATGTGTTATCAGATCCGATTTTGAGATAAATTATGAAGTTTGTTTTTCAGAGGAAGTTAAAGTTTTGTAGTATATTATTAGAGCAATTGTTTTCATTGATTGATTGATTTAATGATTTTGAATACACTGTAATAGTTTCTATATCAAATAAAACACTTGTGAGTGAAAACAGTTCATCATTTATAAATATAATCACAGGTGACAAGATTTTTTTAAATCACCGAAGAATGTCTTCAATGGAAAATGTACAATCGGATATGCTTGGGGATTGTTGAAATGTTATTAACTTCTATTAGTTCAGCAAATATTTAGTCCATTTTAAAACTCCCCTTTTCGCGTCCAAAACAGTCAGTATCGAACACAGAATATCTTAGTGTGTAAAGTTTACAATAGTATTAGTTTCGTCAGCAACAATATTACTTTTGCTATTCTTAGATTTGCCACCCTCCCTCGTTGATGAATTAACTTAGCACAATAGCACAGTCTTCAAGGCAGCAAGGATTAGACTGATTCAATCACAAATTTTGATGACGTCAGCAAGACTTACCTCCCTCCTCACTTCGCCAACAACCGGAAACATTTAAAAACTCCGCCCCTGGCCCCTGCACGTACTAAGTGACTTAGGCTGCTGACGTATAATATGTGAATGCTACATACCCCTTGTTAAAATAAAGCCACACGATACCCGGTAATAATCCACCTATTACACTACATATCTATTATCTATCCGGTCAATCGGTGTCTGAGAGACTTATACATATTCATAATATATTTAACTAAATAATAAAACTACGGACATATAATATATACGAAACTCTAAATATCAACGCACTCAGTGGAGCAGAATACAACTCCGTATCGTGTCCTACTCCCAACCGTGCTGCAAAACTCGGGTTCTCTGGCCCTACCTTGAGTGGTTGCCTCCCCCACAAACCTCTCCACCCTCCCCACCACGCTATTCCTCATATAATCCCTAAACTCCACCATCCTCAAACAGTAGATAGCAGGGTTAAGCGCCGAGTTGATAGCCACACACAGCACGTAGGTAAAGTTCCAGGAGTACCAGACAAGGAGGGGGTAGTCTCGGTACACAGTGTGATAACACTCCTCCGAGCACCCACCCTTCAGAGCCAGCACCATGAGGAGGTAGTTAGCTGTGCCGGGTAGGTTACACAGGACGTAGACCAGAGTGAAGATCAGGACTGTCACTGTTGCGCTGGATCCGGTCGTTTTCGTGTTGTTTCGCTTGGTTTGCTTCCGGGAGAGTAATGCTAGGGTTGAGATGATTGCTACACTGCTGAGAATTATGGGGAAGATAGGAAATGCCAGTTGGAGAAGCCTGGAGATAGTGTTGAATTTCCAATACCAAGATGAATAGGAGCCTGCAGTTGCTGGGAGTTCGAAACAAAATACATCCGTTCTATCGTACACGTAGTCTGCCATGTGCAGAGAAACGGGGATAACTGATCTCAGAGTTAGGTAAACTCCGTACCCGAAGACAAAGCAGAACATGAGAGTAGAGTTGAGGTTAAGGAGAGGAGAGATAAGGACGGTGAGCCGGGAAATGCTCATCACAAAAACCAGGAACACAGAGAAGTAGGGTAGAATCTCCCAGAGGAGACCCCAGCAATTGCAGAATATTTCATTACCAAACCACACCGGGTTTCTACCGTCGAAGAATGACAGGGCGTTAGGAAGTACTGTTATACAAATTATCATGTCAGTGAAACAGATTATTTTGAAAAGTTCATCAAAGTAAGCTTGGTTGGCACTGGCTTTTCTCCTTCCATGTTGACCACCCTGTTGTACTCTGCCCGACCTAAAGTAACAGTAGGCCAAGATGTTTCCTGGTGTTCCGAATAGGAGACAAATCACGTATATTACACCGAAGATTGAGTTGGTTACAATGTTCACACTTGGAGGCAGTGGGTGTGTTGTGCCGGTGAGCTGTGACGCTTCTGTAGCATTCATAATGTCAGTCATTGTCAAGTCTGAACCGACCATCTTAACGAGGCTTTGTGAAGGATATGTTAAAATTCTCTCAGTATCACCAGTGGACTCCCTCGAATTATTCCTTTTGGGATTTAACTCCGATTAGTATTGTAGTTCAAAGGATTCGTTCATAAAATCATTGACCTGAAGCACAAAAGTGAATCACTATTGAAAAACAAAAAATCTGAAATACGAGCGCAATCAATAATAAGCCATTTTAAAATTTAAAATGAGTTGTAATTCTTTCAACACTAGTATATAACATTATTATTAACAAATAATTTGATAATATGAGTATGACGTAGAAATGTCGATACGTGATAATCTATTTACCTTCATCAGAACATCGTCATCACTGAGTCTATTCAAAAAAATAAGAAATTTTCTTGAAATAATCATCAAATGAGACTTAATAACACTATACAACTTAATCATATCTAAAAATGAATTATGAACGCTTTTAAGTGATGCCAAGGACATGGATAAATGCCAAAATTATGTTGAAAAATGGACTGCCCAGAAATGACATCGGGTTGCTTAATTTATGTCGCACTAAAGGATAGTTTCCAGCCGCTTTTTAACGGTGGGACAAACTACATCATAATTTTCAAATTAGTAATATCACCGGAATGGTTTGTTAGACTGTGACCAAAGCAAGAGGCAAGACTATTTCCAATTACCGATGAAGACAAGCCAATATCAAATATATTGCAGTAAGAAGCATATTGTGAAGAAATGCAGCAATCCTATCGGAAGCAGTCCTGTTAGGGTTAATCGAGTCAACAGCTGTACTGGGCACATTTTTATAAGCTGAAATTATCAAATCGCCATTTTATTCCTTATAAACATTTTAAACGATATAGTTAATTTCAGGCACCGATTATTGCTGGCTCCCAAATACTTCATTACATCAATTTGCATAATTTGGAGATCAGTGCTATTTACTCCGGAAATTCGATTTCGCCATAATTTGTATCCAAAATGTTCATCCAAATGTTTTATCCCAATAATATCTATCCTGGAACTTTCAAAGATAGATAAAGGAGATAACAATGATCTATTCTCCTGTCCCTCCCTGCCCGGCCCTTATCTCAATAAGCCTTGTTTATAAAACATTTTATAAGTTTCTGCACTTATAAACTTCAAAATGCAAAAAAGCGAACACTACAAAACTAAACCTTTTCTATTCTTAGCATAAAGATTTGGCAAAACGATTAAGCGACGCGATTGGCATAAAAATTTTAAACATATGTTTCGTTTTTCGTTCTCTTGAGTGGGTAGATCATGATAGATTACTGGAGGGACGAAATGAGAATCTCCACTCGCTGTAAAACAAAACTTATCGTTTATTTATAATTTACATTTTGTTTTACAGTGAGACTCTCATTTCGTCCCCAGTAATCTTAAAATCTTAAACGATCCATTAAATTTCAATCACCAATGATTGCAGACTTCCAAATACTTCATTACTGCACTTTGCAGAGTTTGGAGATCATTGCCATTACATTTACGATTTCACCATAAATTGTGTTCACCCTCTTCCCGGCCCTTGTATGAAGTTTGATGGATAATCATTATTTAAACTTTAAGATGCGACAAGCGAAAAAAACGCCCTCGTCACATTTAATACAAAAATGTAATGACATGAAGGTCGAATGTTATAAGGGACATCATCTTGAAAGGTGATAACCGTTGAAAAATCAAGTTCACGTTTCGTCTCGGTCTACATGCTAATAGCTTAATCGTTTTACCAAAATAGAAAAGATTTATTTTTGCAGGATTGGGCGACATCTGTCGGACAGCGACATCTGTCCGACAGCCGAATTAGGGATTTCGGACAGATGTCGCTGTCGGACAGGAGTCGTTTTTGGCGACATCTGTCCGAATTTCGGATCATAATGTAATTTCGGTTCATATTCGTATTTCACAAGCTCACTGGTAATCTCGTGACGTTGCCCCCATTGTTCTATCGCTGATGTGATCCATTGAGATCTGATCCATCGATACGTGATTGACTAGTTGAGGACAGGATCGTGCACTAACAAGCTGTCGATCACATCACAGCTTGGACACAGCCTACATGAGTACATATGCAATCCACAATGGCAACCAATCTTCACTCTTCAGTTTATCCCTGGATGCAAACAAGGCTCGGAGAGCCCTGTCTTGAATGGACAGGTGGTGGATTGGATTTGGGTTACGAATCGGGACATCAACCACCAATCCTAACTTAGCTCCCCACATGTGGAGTCAACACGAAGCCGCACAGATGAGGATTCCTCGCTCATCCAATATCGCAGAAGGTTGGCATCACGGATTTCATTCAATGCTCTCCTGCTCGAAGCCCACAATTTCGAAGTTCCTTGATTGCCTTAAAGCAGAACAAGCCCTTACAGACGTGAAGAAAACCAAAAGAGACGGCGGGAACTACCTGAGCCACGTGATCGACACCTTCAGAGAATTTTAGATGATTACACAACTACAGCAGCCCTATGGATTTCCTAAAAGCTATCGGAAAATTGACTATGCTTTAGATTTTATTGTATTTTATTGAATTAATTTATATACCATTTAAATTATTGTCCAATTTATCGACATCAAATGAAAATAAGCTATGGTAGTAAACTATGGCTCAGATCATATCTCAAATTGGAAATGTTACGTATACAACTTAGCAAGTAACAGTTCAGATCATTTCTCTAATTGGAAATGTGTCGTATTGAAATCAGATCACAATTTCGGACAGTTGTCGTTTTTTTCTGGTACCCTGAGTCGGACAAATGTCGCTGTCGGATTTTACGGTATTCGCCATGAAAGTTTAAAATCAAATTAAGGCATTAGTTTAACTATAAATTCCATAAGGCTCGCAATTAAGAGTTTGAATAACCGTCAAAATTTTTACCGAGGAACGACTATTAAGTTCGCTATACTAACATGGAATAAAGATTGTCAAATACAGCAAGTCACCCTGATCTAGGAGAGTTCATATGATAACCTGAGAAATTTAGGCTTTTGTTTTAATACGAAGACTAGGGACAAAAGTTCGCTCTATTAACTGAACACTTTTGAGCGTTAACGTAAGTTGTAATTGTTAATCTTTAACGACAACCCTCACCCTTCCGGTTTATAGGTTGAGTGTCTATGTAGACCTCGACACGATTATGATTGCTCTTTGCTAAGAGGATAAACTACGAGTACAAAGTAGTGACAGATTAAGCTACTACTTTGAGCTTGAAATACATTTGTCCAGTTATTCTTTTATCCAAACCCTCAGTTACAAAGTTAAAGGTTTTGAGACTTTAATGATGTATACTTGCCTCGAGGTGGTCAGACATTTGATGACCCTTCCTGCTACGAGGATAAACTCTACCAAAGTAACCGAAGTAAGTAGCAAGATATGGCTCAGACTTTAAGACTGATAATTACAATAGTTCAGGAATTATCTTTTATCACAATATTTCAACAAGTAAAAAAGCTAAAGGTTTTGAGACTTTAAGACTGATAATTACATTAGTTCAGGAATTATCTTTCATCACGATATTGCAACAAGTAAAAAATGCTTTGAGAGAAGATACTGGTAATTACAATAGCAAGATGTGCCTTAGACTTTAAGACTGATAATTACATTAGTTCAGGAATTATCTTTTATCACGATATTGCAACAAGTAAAAAAGGTTTTGAGAGTTGAGACTGGTAATTACAATAGTTTAGGAATTATCTCGATATTACAACAAGTAAGAAAAGCTCTGTTAAGCTGTTAGGACCCATGTAGGAAGTCTGAACTTCAACATTTAAACGTAACACACATCATTAAATAAAACTCGTACATTACGTTGCCCAACGAGAATTGTTTGTGTCTTCCAGACGTACCCATATAATTAGTGATTAACAAAAAGCATAAGAGCTATAATTAGCTGAGAGATGAGGCTAAGCTGAAACATCATGAGGCATTTGTGTTTTGTGGTTAAGTGTTACGGAAAGTGCACAAAATATCCATAAATTGTATGCGATAATTGTGTCGACAAATTGTCCACAGTTGTATCGAGAAATTGTGCTAACAGTGTTGAAACAAGATGGGCGTAGTTTTTTCATAAAATCATTGTCGGTGATTAGACTATAACTATAACTATAACTACAAATTGGTAATATCTTCTAAAAACGATCCTAATGGATATGCAGTAGACTATTGAATGGTACTTGCAGTGAACACGGTAATAGTAACGGTAACAGTACTAGGAAATGGACACTGCTAGTTTGCATGAAGCTTTAAATAATTACAATTCTATTTACATCCATTAAGATCAATGGTCGAGATAAAATATCATGACTTCGATTCTAAAAGCATATTATGTATCATGTGATATGGGGTCTAGGCAAAAGTAAATGCAAGACATTTTGTAATCATCCCAAAAAATTTTAAAACTCGCTTCCCGATGCAATCAACTCAAATCATAAAAAGCCAAAACTGATGCCTCAGTAGCGGATGAAAAATTTAACATAAAGCAGACGGAATATAAGTGCAGCTGAAGTTGCGGATATTCTAATTAGTGCAGTTGTTTAGTGTTTACTGTGATCACATCACATTGTACTAATACTATAGTTACTTTAACAAGTAAAAGTTGGTAATACAATGCATATGTGGGGTGTCATCAGCAGACAGTTGGCCGTTAGTTACGTGGACGGGAGGGGATTTTAACAAGTTTGATCGATGATCAATATAAGTTCAGGATTGGTGCCAATTTCAAGTAAACACTAAACAAGTAAATAGTATCTACGCTTCTTACAATTTCCATCTTTGTAATCATACTTAGAACGACCCTTTCAATCCGATCATCTGCCGATCATCTGCCGTTGATAACAAATATTAAATAAACTCAACGTTGTGATGTTGATCTAATGTGCTCAAATATAATCCTCACAAAAATACATCTAGACAAGCAACAGTTCTACTCTCAATCAATTGTAGTCCATTCTGTTCACTTAACATAGCTGTACAGCGCCAAAGAGATCCC